CTCAGCAGTGCCACAGGCTGATAGCTTCCATGCCACGCCGCATTGAGGCAGTAATTGTTGCAAAAGGGGCTCAAAACCAAGTACTGAGAACATATGCATGCTTATACTTTTCATTGGTCCGATATTGTTCTATGTACAATCCTTGTTTTATTGATTGCATGTAATATTCTAATTTTCTGAGATGGTGGATTTGGGGTTTTCATGAGCTGTAAGCCATAATCATCACAATTATGACAAATCACGGCTTGAACTATCTTGCTTTGCATGTAATGATTCTTATCTCATATATTAGTTTCACCTTTTAAGTTGCATTACTGAAATAAATGAACTTTTGCACAATATTCTAATTTTTCGAGTTTCACCTGTATAATTTTCAGAATACCTAGTTCTATGTTCTATACTTAGTCACATATTACATATTTAATCAAGTAAAATTTATTTTATTTTTAGCTAAAAAACTAATTTGTATTAAACAAGCAGATTTTTCACTTCCCCACCTTTTCATATAATTATATTAATCTGGGAGATTTGATATTTTAAATGTGTACACTTTTTATGCCCTCTGTATTCTAGTAACACTGACAAAACTATGAGAAGTTCTTTTACCAAGTGCATTTAGGCACCAGGATTAAAAATCTTATTTTTCTTACTACCACTGCTGCTATTGCAAAACAATCTTACAATGACTGCCATTAGATCATCATTCAAAGCACAGTGATGCAAGGTACTTCCTCCCATTTTATATTCCAGATGAAAGGTAACCTGGAAGAGAGGGATATGGGAAGTATAGATAGGACAGGACTGAGGGAAACCTCAAATGCAAAAATAGGAAAATCCCCATCTATTAGTGACAAGAATATGAATATATATTTAATTCTAGCAAAGGCCAAGATTAACAGCTTGCTGAAACATCTAAGATACTAGGAGCCAGCTTACAGTATAAGCAAGCAGCATACATTAAACAAAATAAACCTGAACCATATTAAAAAACTACTTTATGACCTATTATATTCTCTAAAAGCTATTTTGATACCTTTTTAAACCATCAAATAAAGAATATTGCATATACAGTAATAGGTTGTGTTTTCCTTAATATCACAGTTCAGTTTACTGTGTGATCTTCCTCATGTTCCATCAAGTTCACCATGTTAATGAGGATATATTTGATTTGGAAGGAGCAATAATAAAAAAAACTCTCAATGAAAGCTGTTAACTAGTTAATTGAAAGAACAAAACAATGCATGGTCAACATTTGAAGGATTTAGAAGAAAAGCCGATAAAAAACCCACATAGAGTTGGTTAAGATCAATAGGGTTAAAGAAATTAAAGGCTTTATTTTAGTGGCTCAAGAATAGTTTTTGCCAACTAATTGCATGAAGGCAAAAATTAAACCTCTTACAAACAACAGCAATTATCACTTTTCTAGTAAAAAGAATAAAACAATTAACCACTTGATCAATTGCTGTATCAAAATTTCACAGACTGGCTATAAGTAGTATTATGACCGAGTTGCCAGAATTATTGGAAATTTTGCCAGACATTTGAATTTGAATACAATAAAAAGTACTGGGACCATCAAGTTGAGGATTGGGAAAATGAGTGGATTACGTTTTTATGGAACTTTTACATCCAAACAGATAAGACATCTTGTTCATAACATATCAGCAGATTGAACATTTGTGGAAAAATAAATCCATTGTTGTACCAATCGTGATTGGAGCCCTTGGAACAATACCTAAACGACTTCCTTGATACCTGGAAATATTGATCAGAACTGCCTGCATTCTTAAACGGTACTGTAGGAAGTTAGCACCCATCCCTGTCCTGGATGAATTAAATATTCTAGGAAATATTACGAAGGCAGATTATTTCCCTGGATGAGAAATGGAGAAACATTTTTTGGCAGGAAGCAGACTCACTCTTAATAGCCCCCACCCTCAATAGCCCACAGATGTCAGTACTTAAGAGATAGAGTTGGCTAGGTCTATTCATAAGCAAATACCCTCACCCAAGCTCCAACAAAGGTAGGATTAGCCCTCAGCCATAATAGGAATTGCCCAAAGCACCTTCATTACATCACCCAGCACAGTTCAACCAAGCTTGACTCAGAAAACCTACAAGGTTAGCTATGACCCCTACAGCAGTCAATAGCTTGCCACAGGAACAGGAAGCTAAAATTCAAAGCCCAAGAGTGGGTATAAAAATGTCTTTCACCCATGTGCTCGACTGCCCGGGACTTCAAACCATGTGGTCCTGTTCACCATTAAAACCATTTTCCAAGTAGTCTCCATGTTTCCAGTGTCTTTCTTTCCACTTGGAACTGAACCCAGATTGACATTTCTTCCAACAGTACCTTAATTGGGTATCATCAAAATACTGATACCAAACCAGCAGATGACTTGCCCAGTGGTTTCATGTGGATGTTGAAAACAAAGACAGAATAAAGTCCTGCAGTACCTCACCTGATTGATTGGAAAACAATCTCTCCCCACCAATCAACCCAGAATGAACATTAGCAAATATTATCAGGGAATATATGCCTTCACTTCTTTTATATTTTAATTTTTATCAACAAAATCAATATATTAAATTGAAAAGTAACAAATGTATTTCATAAATTTGGCCTAGTGGGTCCTGCCTTAGGCATTAAAGCCAGTTGGGTGACTTTGGGCCAGTCACCCCAAGCCAACCCATCTCACAGGGTTGTTATGGGGAAACAGAAAACAGGAGGAGGAATGTATGTTGGATATGTTCACCACCTTGAGTTATTTGTAAATAAAGACAGCATACAAATAAATGCATTAAAAATAAAAGGGCAGAGGATGAGATCTTTGCCCTGGTTTTTTTCCTAGAACAGGGCTGTCAAACTTCTAGCCCGCATACCAGATACATAACATGCTGGCCACGCCCTGTTTAGCAAAGGAAAGGTCCTGATACGTCACGCCGCTGTGACATGTGTTTGACACCCCTATCCTAGAAGTTAAAGCTTTTCTGGTGACTCTATTCCTATAAATGAGAACAGAGTTTTCACTACCACTCCTCTTACTAATTGCAGATGTCAAAATCATCCATATAATTCACTATAAAGACTACTAAAAGTAGTAAAAGCAAACATTTGTGATCTCGTATTAACAGAAATAAACTTTAATGGTAGCAATTTACAGACTTTGGGAAAAACAATTACTATATAACTCTCCAATTATTGGAATTAAAACAAGACATAATTTAATTTCGTAAACTATTACATAAAAGTTGATTTAGAATCAAGTTGAAACTGTAAAATTGTAAATATTTTATTAGATCATAGGATGAATCACATAAAGTATTCATATCATTTTTTCTTTCAATAATTCAATGTAAATTCCATGTTATCGCAATTTCTTTTATAACCCATTCAAATTCAAAAAGTACTATATTTTTCGAACTATAAGACACACCTAAATTTACAGGAGGAAAACAAGAAAAAAATAGTTGTTAGCCTGTGTGTGTTGAGTTTTCGCCCTCAGCGCCCAAAAGCACTCTGCAATGCTCCACATGGCGCGTTTGCACCAAAGTGTGCCCATTTTTGGCCTGCAGAGTGCTTATGGGGGATGGGAGGGCAAAAACACAATGTGCAGAGGGCTTGGGAGCCCAAAAATGGGCCGTGTGAAGCACTGCAGAGTGCTTTTGGGGACTGGTATTCATCCCTATTCGGTCTATAAGACACACCTAAATTTTCACCCACTTTTTTGGGGGCAGCGGCGGAAAGATGCATCTTGTACTCTGAAAAATATGGTACCAGTGTCTCAAATACTGCCATGTCAAGTCGTATCGTTAAACAGAAAATTTATATAGCACACACACTACACACCCAGATCCCAAATCTTTCACAATGTATTAGAAAACTTGAAAAAATAAACTACAGCTGTACTACAAAAAAATAACTCTGTCATAGATTAACTAGAAAGTGAGATCAACCATCAAGGAATCAAAGATGAGAGCTGTGAATTCCCCCCACTTAACTTTCCTTGAGGTAAAGCTTCTCTTAATAAGTTTCTTGAACTATCTTTCAATCTACAGAAGGAATAAGCAACTTATTTCCTACTAGCATATATTTAAGCATTGTTTTCAATTAAGAGCTAGAAATTTAAAGAAGCAATCATGTATTCATTAAAATAAAAGTCCTACATAGAAGATATATTGTAATTTGCCCACCCTGGGCTTCTGGAATGTTAAACCTACAATCCTATGTATGTTTACTGAATTAAGTGCCTCTAAATGGACATCCAGAAGATTGCACTGTAAAGTAGTAAAAAATTGAAAATATTCCTTCATCTAACATTCCATTTAATTACTGGTTGTACAGAGAACATATAACCAGTACATGATTATAATTTCATTAAAACAAGGCATATACAGTCAATTACATTAAAAGAGATATGGGGAAAGATCCTATTTTAAAAATGTATTTGCTAAAATCACTAAAAAAACTTGCATTTAAAAATAGTTGATAAAAATATTCCTCTGGATTGTACAAGGCAGCGGTGAGAGAACCACTGATTAAAGACTGTTACTCAGATTTTTCTTCTTTTTCTCCTGGTGTATCAGATACTGGGTCCTAAAAAAAGAGAAAACTTAGTAGTAGTAATAATTTATTTCCAAGTTCAAACTTAAAAACATATCAAATTTGATATATAGGCCAAAAAAACTTTTATGTCAGGATCCAAGATGTATTAATTCATTTCAATCAGTTTAAAATTTCTGCTTCAGTGTAGCCATTATACATTAACATGTTCAATCCACAAGAGGAAAATATTTGGAATAAAGTATGAAACACAATGAACTAAACAATGAGCATGCATTCTGAATTTAGAAGATTTAAGGTATACAATACTCTTCCATAACTAAGAGCTACAGTGAGAGTTATATCACATCTGCATTTTCTGCAATTCTATTTTTATTGAGGAAACCTAGCAATTACTGAATAATTAAGCTAGAGAACTTTACTTCATTACACTCAAACATAAAAAGGATACATGGTTGAAATTTGATGAATTAATTTATATGCTCTGAATATTCAGGCTGAAAACTGTTTTGTTCTCTGTGTTCTTAAATAGGAATATTTATAGTGGACATTAAGTCAAATCTATTTTTTCCATTATTTTATGGAAAGGAAACAGCAAATGGAGGACTAGTTTACCAAACCTGAGAACAAGACTCCACTTTTTGAATCCAGAATAAAAGTTGAACTCCAGTGCATTTTCAACCCTTGAACTCTGTTCTCTTTTTCTTTCTGCCCTTTCTTTCACCCCATAATTTTTTTAAGTGTCCTCACATAAATCCAAACAAGCTGCAAGGGTATGGTAGGAAGCATCTACATAAAATTCTTTACTGAGGTGAAATGAAATCTACCTTTCGAAACAAATTAACTTAAAAGAAACTCCAGATATCTATGAAGGTTTGATAGAATTACCTCCTCACTTTTTGTTTCTCCATTTTCTGCAGGCAAGCTATCCTTTATTTCTTTTTTGTTATTATCTTCAGTTTGTTTCTCTTTCAGTCCTTTTTTCCCTTTTGTTGAAGCTCTCTTTTCCTCAGATTTAACCTATAGTAATTCAGAATAGATAATTCATAAAAGCAATTGTCAACCATTGATTGGTAACTTTATTTCTAAACCACTGGGCAAAGTATACAATAAATTACCCAAATAAAGCTATTCTTATAAGTAACTTACAAAAAAGTAGTCCTGATTCACAGTAAGAATTGAGCTCTAAATTTCAACTGCTAAGTAGGGGAGTTGTTAGTAAGTGTTGCCAATTACATTTTTTTTGCTAGTCATTAAGTGAATCACTCTAGATGTTGTGAATCATGGGGTCATTAAGCAAATCTGGCTTCCCCCATTGATTTTGCTTGTCAGAAGTCTTCTGGGAAGGTTACAAATGATGATCATGTTACCCTAGGACAGTGCAGACAAACATACATTCCAGTTGCCAAGCAGCCGAATTTTGATTATGTCACCATGGGGTTACTATTATAACTGTGAATATGTGTCATGCCACTTTTTTCAGTTCCATTGTAACAATCACTAAACAAATGGTTGTAAGTCAAGGACAACCTGTATACTACAGTGTTAAATTTCCGTTGAAAATAGGTTTGCAATTTATAAAGTTTTACAAAACTAAGTCATCAGATGGTAAATTATAATAGAGAGACTACGGTAGTTAAAGTGCATATTTTAAAATCAACAGCCAGCTTCCAAAGCAGAGTTTAAGTAATCTAATAGACTTCCTATAAAAAATAAATCCTTACCTTTGAAGTGGGCTTTTTTGGTTTTGTCTCGACTTTTGCAATGGCAGGTTTCTGAAAGGAACACAAGTACTTATTTATTATGCCTCCCTCTTTCTACAAATTACAGTAGTAAATCAACCGAAATTTCTACTCACAGCCGATAATCGTGCGGATCGCCTCTTCGGCTGTTTCAAAAGAGGACAAAATCCTGAAGTTAATAGCCCGCTCAGTACTACCTATATAATCTTTTTCCCTCCGTTTTTTTATTATTCCAGCTACGCAACAGACACTTACCTCTTCTTCAGCAGGATTCACCTGTAACGAAAGTTAATAGTATTAAAAACCGCGCGGGAGGTGACATCGCATGCGCATAACGGACTGAAACCATACCAGGAGCTGTGACCTCACGGCGCACACGCCCCCTTTCCCACCGCCGTATCGGGATCTCTAGGCTGAGGCCGAGTTGCGCCAAAGGCCGCGCAAAATTTAAGAGTCGGGAATGCGCTCGAAGCTCTCGGAATGCTATCAGACCTCCGAATTACTTCGAAGGGAGGCCCACACGCAGCCAGTAATAATCGCCACGTCCCTCACCCCCTCTTGGCTCCCTCGGTGAGCACCGAAATACTGGGCCTCACGCCGAAGTCGCCACAGAAAACTATTCCAATTATAAAAGAGAACGCCCTCCCGGTCTTATTTTTTAAAATAAAATTTCTCAATCATAAAGAAACGGCAAGATAAGGCAACGACGAGAAAGAGATTTTGCGTCCTTGACGCACGTTAGTGTGCGCGCGCGCCTGTCGCCAACCTTTCTCTTCGGCATGGCTGAGTAAGCTGCCCTCGCCTTTTCTTGTGCTTTATATTTTTTTGCCCTTAGCGTCAGGCCGTGCGGGTGCTTGTTCTTACAACCGGAGCGGTGACGACTGCTAGTTCTTACTCCAGCCTACGGGAGTCGGATTCTCACTGCTGCGCACAAACTGTCTCTTGCCTGCTGATCCCCCCCCCCCTACATCCCAGCAGCGCCAGCGGCACTGCAACAAGATCCAGCCGGATTGAAAGGAAAGGGGGGGAGTGCGCGCGCTCTCCTTAGCGCCGCCCTCTCTTGACTGAGCGCGCTCCTTCCCATTGGCCGCCTGACTTGTAGGACAGCTAATACACCTCAACACTCGGCCCCATCTGCAAGCCCAGATTTGTCCCTTTGAATTTGGTCTACCTCGGAGACACGGATGCCTTCTAGGCGGATCTAACCATGGGGCCCCGCCCACTTCCCACACGTCACAGTGGAAGTGTGACAGATGGCCGCCGCATCTGCGCAGTATTGTTGAACGGCTTCTGTGAGGCACCGTCGCTCCGCAAAGATGCGCGCCTGCGCATTTTTGATAAGTGGGCGCCCGCCTCAAGTGTTTGTCAGCTCGCGTAATTATTTATCCTGAGAACAGCGTTTCTCTTTCTCCTTTTTCTTTGCACATCTCTAACCCAAGACATGACTGAACTACGTATTGAGGCGAAACATTTGACGACGGAGGGTGGCGCATGGCTTCTCGTCCTGAGCTCCGTGTTCTTATGCAACCTCCTCAAAATCCTTCTACCTTCCTGTTCTTCCATTGTAAGTGTCAACGGCCCATCGGGTTTCCATGGCAACCGCATCTTTGACCTTTTATTTCTCAGTAGAAGAGAAACTATTGAATTGTCCCCTGGGGATGGGAGAGAGATGCAGGAGAGGAAACATTCTAAGGTCGCCTCCTATCCCATTTTTATGTTCTCCTTATATTTAGTGTAGCAACACTTCCCAATCTAGTATTCTTCTGCAAGTCCAAGATTTGCTAGCTTGCATGGATACAGCAAGTTATAGTCCCAACACATGTTCTTTCAGAGATGTTTTCTTGCCAGATTTCTGAATGCCTTCAATAGTGACAGAGCTTCTAATGTACTGCTTTCACTGGAAAAGTTCTTTAGAATTCTGGGACACATTCCAAGATGTATCTTGAAAATAACGTGTTGAGCTGTATAATACAGTTAAAAATGGAAATGCTGTGTGACACTTTGTATTTATTCATAAAATGGTTTATGATCATTTTGTGTCATTAAATGCTTTATAACATTTTCCAGATTTCAGTTCCACAGGAATCATGGTTCCATGTTATGTCAGTTAGCCCATTTGAGGTATTTTGGCTCAAATATGGTTGCCCTATGATGCACTGCTTTGCCCAGTTAAAAGATACACTCCGTTTTAGTATATAGATTCAAAAGGAAATATCCATTGGATTGTGGTGTCAAAACTGAATAATCATTTGAAGTTTTTAAATGTATACCTATAGTAGATAGAAGAAACTAGATTTGCTATGGAGGCCCTCCTTATGTAAGAATAAAATTAAGGCACTCCTCAAAGATAGCTTGTCTAACTTTTCTGCATTTGACAAAAAAATAATTGCAAAATGGAATCAGGATTCCTAATTAGAACCACATGTGAATTTCTCTTAGTGTTAGAAAGTTGTCTTTCTAATATTTTATTGGATTCTGCCTTTCTGTAATTTTTATTTATTGTCATTTCAAAATTGTAGGCAATTTTATTTCCAAAAGCTCCAAGCGGCTTATAAAATATTTTACAAAATAGGATTAAAACTGTTAGAAAAGCAACAACAAGCCATCTGATGTACCAACATTTGGGATAGTATGTTTTCTGTTGTTCTGGAGTGCTTTCCTAAAAAACCATGTAAACAGGTCTCCAAAAATGTAATAGGTAGAATGTGGTCCCGTAGCAAGCTTTCGCTTCCAGATTTCACCAGATGAGGTGATTCAGCTTGGAAGAGGAGTTTTACAGTTCAAGTGTGATGAAATTCTAATTCTGCAAATAACCATTTTTTCCAAATATTGAAGACAAAGAACAGAAAAATATTTGTTATGAATGTTGTGATTATTTTATGTAATAACCCTATGTTAGATACTCATTTATAATTATGAAATAAGACTAAATAGACTTTTAGACTTCCTTTTCTCTTTATCAGATATCTAGATTGCTACAAAAGGATGCTGAGCAGGAATCTGAAATGCGATCTGATATTCAGAGCATGAAGCAAGAACTTTCTACCATTAGTATGATGGATGAATTTGCCAGATATGCTCGATTAGAAAGGAAAATTAATAAAATGACTGATAAACTTAAAACACATGGTACAGTTTTGGTAACTATATTTGCATAACGTCAGTTCATTGTTGCCAGCTTTTTTCAAAAGTGTTGCTAATCTTATGACTTCATAGCTATAAAATAAAATGTGGCAATATTGAAATACATTTTGTGGGGATTAAGCAATATTCTGGCTCATTTTATATTCTTATGTGAACACTTTAGCTTTTTAAAGAAATTAAAACTTATATGTGCACTTTTAATTCAAATAAACTGTAGATTTATTCTTTAAAAATAATGCAATTTTTCATTTAATTAATTGGAATTGTTGAAAGGTTTTTTCTTTATAAGTTTTTGTGTGTATGTTCACTCCAAAATTCAATTTATTTCATTTGTAACATTCTTCAATACAGGTTATCAAAACAGCATAGTTTTTTAAAAAAATCTGATTTTGGTATGACATTTCTAGAGTTGCTGAATTATTAGAAAAATGTTTTAATAATATTCAAATGTGTGTGTGTGTATGTGTGTATGTATGTGTATGTATGTATATAAGTGTGTATATATATGTGTGTGTATGTGTGTGTGTGTATGTATGTGTGTGTATATGTATATGTATGTATATGCTAGACTTGTATTCGGGGCTTTTCCTGTGTAAGATTGAGATTGCCTTGGCAATATTTCGGCGAGGTCTCATTCGCCATCTTCAGGCTGGTGTTTTCGGCTTAAAGCATAGTCGGAGCTGCTGTCTTTCTATAAATCTTGGTGGGGGTGTGTGGAGTGCTGGCTTTGTTTCAGTAAGTGGATTGATTGGATGTGTGGTTGTATCATGATTGGTTGATTGGTGCTGGCTGTGTGTACGTTGTTTTGTGTTGTAACAGCCTGGGTGGTGAGTGGGGCTTGAATGCAGTAAGAAAAAAAAGAAAAAGCTACTTCCCTTTTCCAGCACCTTAAAGCTACAGGACATGAAATTAATTTTGAAGGAACCAAGTTAATCTCCAAAATTGAGCACTTCAACAAGAGAATAATTATGGAAGCTATCGAAACAGAGAAACACCCCCACAACATAAATAAACGTGATGATACCTCTCGCCTACAAGACATCTGGAAACTAGCCAGCACTCCACACACACCCCTACCAAGATTTATAGAAAGACGGCAGCTCCGATCACACTTTAAGCCGAAAACACCAGCCTGAGGATGGCGACTGACACCTCGCCGAAACGTTGCCAAGACAATCTCAATTTTACATGGGAAAAGACCCGAATACAAGACCAGCATATACACACACACACATATACATACATACATACATACATATATACACATACACACACATGTATACATACACACACACACACAAATGTATGTATATAGGTAGTCCTTGACTTACAGCCACCATTCATCCTAAAATTTATGTTGGTAAGCAAGATAGTTGGTAAGTGCGTTTTGCCCCATTTTATGACCTTTCTTGGCACAAGTGCTAAGTGAATCACTGCTGCTGTTAAGTTAGTAACATGGTTGCTAAGTGGTTTCCCCATTGACTTTGGTTGTCAGAAGGTTGCTAAAGGTCACCACATGACCCCAGGACACTGCAACTGTCATAAATGAGTCACTTCTGCTACAATAGTCACAAATGTGAAAAATGGTCATAAATCACTATTTTCAGTGCTGCTGTAAGTTCGAACAGTCACTAAACAAATGGTTTTAAGTCAAGGATTACCTATAGACACACATCTGCGTGTCTATATATACACATACATGCAGTATTCTATTGAAAAAAGGAAAGTGAAATAAATTAGATATAAATAAGTAAAATCAAGTAAACAGGGATGAAATAAAATTGCCATAAAACTATTAACTTGTTTATATAAATCACACATTATTGTTTTCTATTAACAGTGAAAACACGAACTGCTCAACTAGCCAAAATAAAGTGGGTAATAAATATTGTGTTCTACATTTTGCAAGTAAGTAAATTTGAATTATGTAGACTAAGATACATGTTGTAAAAATAAATTATCTATAAAGTAGCTTAAAAGAATTAATTAGTAATAAAAATAACCGCATAGAAAGTAAGATTAGAACTTCTTTCCATGTTTGTCTCTTTGTTAGTGTTAGCTTTGTATATGAATGTTACTGTTTCATACAAGAGCCATTCATTTGTCTGAATAATTGCAATTTACAATCAGACAAGTTTTGTGAATTAAGTCATATGATTTTTCCTTTTTCCTACCTTTCTTTTGAGCAATTAATCATATAATGTTGCGTTCAGTGATGTGCACTCTGATATAGCTGGGAAAGAATGCCTCAGTCCCTTTCCTTAAACTGCAGAGCCAAATCAAAAGAGAGGCAAAAAGTAATAGTGTTTCTGATGTTTTTTAAAATAAAAATATTATATGAAGTAGAGCACCCTGGATTCATGCAAGTGTAATTTTCACAATATAGTAGTTATATCACAGTAAGTTTCAGAAATATATACTATAGTTAGTGTAGTAAAAATGTAATGACTTTGTTTGTACCTTTCACATATATCTGAATATTTTTTTTTAAATTTCAGGGTGCCTTAATGATATCATTAATTTGGAAATATTACTCTGAACCAGTTACTGTGCTTCCAAGAAAATGGCTAGCCCCTTTGGAACGTATAGTAGCTTTTCCAACAGGAGTGGCAGGTAAGCCATGTAAAATACTTCCTGCTCTTTTGTATGAATCTAATATTTCTTTTTTTTAATTTTAAATGCATAACTCTATGTGGGTTTTCTTCAGAAACTTTGACCCATAATCTATATACCTGTATCTGTATTCTATAGATGTATATTTAATAAACAGAAGCACACGTTAACAAATTTTTCATGATTAATTTTTCAGAGCTGAAAATGTTCCAAATCTAATGACTATCTGCCTGTTATTGTAAATAATATGGGGCTAAATAAATCAGTGTTTCAATTCTAAGAGTTGTTTGTGTCTAACAGTATGCCTATAAGATAGAGCTACCAGTTTCATACCAAAGCAAGGGAGGCTGTTGCTCAGTGGCTAAGACGCTGAGCTTGTAGATCAGAAGGTCGGCAGTTCAACAGTTCGAATCCCTAATGCTGTGTAACAGGGTGAGCTCCTGTTATTTGTCCCAGCTTCTGCCAACCTAGCAGTTCGAAAGCATGTAAAAAATGCAAGTAGAAAAACAGGGACCACTTTGGTGGGAAGGTAACAGCCCTCCGTGCACCCTCTGTGTTTAATCATGCAAGCCACATGACCATGGAGAAGTCTTTGGACAGCGTTGGCTCTTTGGCTTACAAACGGAGATGAGCACTGCCCCTAGAGCTGGAAGCAACTAGCATGCATGTGTGGGGGAACCTTTACCATGGGTCATATATTTAAGTGAAAACTGTATTAAAGAGCCATAATTGTGGCTAAATATTTAAGATTAGGAATGTATTTCACCTATTAATCATATTACTGTATATTTGGTTTATTCCTTTAATGCATTTGAATAGTTCTCATTGGGGACCAGTTATATATTCTTTTAAAATGAAAAATATGCTAAAAGCAGTATGTTGAGCAATTCCTATTCTAATGAAAATTACAGTAAAGCAGTTAATTTTGGGCTATGGCCAATGTACATAAAATCTCCAGATTTTACATATTACTTATCACCTAAATCAATAATTACTTTTTTCCCCTAAACTCTCAAGGGCAAATTTAAGTATTTATTCATTTTTGCTATGCAAATATTTTTAATACATATGCCTGAACTACTGATTCTTGGTATTTACAACATACCTTTTTATCTTTTTTAGGTGGTGTTGGAATTACATGTTGGTTGGTTGTTTGCAACAAAGTTGTTGCCATTATGCTACACCCATTCAGTTAAGAAAGAAACAAATTTCACTTTCAGCAATTTAGACCTCCCTGTCTTTATATCAGTATTCTGCTATGGTAGGAGATAAAGCCCAAGAACATGAAAGACTAAAAGGGTGCAGCTTTTAAAAAATAAAAAAACAAATATTCAATAATTGAAATACAATCTACAATGACTTTTGTTATATAGTTATTTCCCTTCATTTTTAGATGTGTAGAATATATGCTGAATATGAACTATTACTGTGCTCGATGTTATATTTTTATTTATATTCTCATCTGTTATTTCTTGTACAGATGCAAAAGAAAAATAGTCATAAGCATTTCAGGCAATCGAGTACTTCAAAATAATCATAGAATCATAGGAGAACAGGGTTGGGAGGAACATTGGAGGTCTTCTAGTCCAACTCCCTCCAGGAAATCCTATAACCTCTCAGGCCAAATGGTTGTCCAAGCTCTTTTTGAAAACCTTCAGTGATGGAGCACTCATAGTTTCTCCTTAGTTGTAAGCTGGATCTCTCTTTAGTAATTTTCCATTTGTTACTTCTTGTCCTTCCCTTAGGTGCTTTGGAGAATAGGTCAACCATGTCTTCTCTGTGATAACTCAAATATTGGGAAATTGCTATTATGTCACCTCTAGTCCTTCTCTTTGCTATACTAGACATGCCTGGTTCCCTCAACCATTCATCATATGCTTTACCACCAGCGGTCCAATCATCTTAGTCACTATTCTCTGCACTCTTTTTAGAGTCTCAACATCTTTTTTGTATTGTGCAAAAGTGCAATTATATTGTATAAAATAGCCAATCATAATTGCTTTAATAGCATTCCAGACAGTCATTGAATTTGTCCATTTACCCAGATTATTATCGAAACATTAATTTCTTTTAATAATCCTTTACAATCTCCTTTTGTGAAAAATTTATTTAATCTCTACAGTTCAAATTCTTAGATGCGGCATATGCCAAATGATAATAAAAATAAATTAAGGATTCAGGGAAATCTTATTTAGAGGGAGAAATTGATAGCATAATTCAGAAAACATCTTTTTGAAAAATCCTTTAATATTTATATTTAAAGAATGTGAAAAAGTACACAAAATAGTTTTTGTGATGCTAATAATAACTATACAAACTAATATCTAGTATGTTAGTTCTAATACTATCCACTATCATCATTCTAATATTTTCTAATATCTATATTCATGCTTTAGAACATTTTTTCAATAATTAAAAATACTGGGTATGGGGTGAAAAAGCAAAACAATTAAGATTGCCCGAGAAGGCAATTTTCTGAAAAACATGTTTATGGGCTTGACTGGAATCATCACACTGCAAGCCATCATTTCTGTATCAAACCTCATCATAGGTTTTTTACTCTACAACACTCCCCCCCCCCCTCAATTACCCTCAATGCTTAAATTAGCTTTTGGACCACTGTTATTTAAGATGTGGTTTGGACCAAACAGCCTTTCTTTTCTGGAGGTATGTTGGGACCATTTTCTTCATTGGCAGTTGAAGGGGTGTCTTTTTGACTATCCTTGGGAAGTTTGGCAAATGAGGCTGTTATTTCACCCTGTTGCCATTTCTTTGGTCTTCTACTCATGGTATTTGGGTTGATTAAGAGACCTGTTGAAGGATATCCCTGATGCAAAATTTCAATAGCCTCTGAAAATGCTGTACATACTGTTTTTTTACATGTAGGTGGTGTTCTATGTATTACTGTTGTTAATTTGGCTCAAACAGCTTCTTTGGCCTCTTTGTCTTCTTCATTTTACTGTTTTTCAACTGCAACTTCTTCCAAATTATTTTCTTTTGGCTGAATATGATGTTTAGGAAGACATGATTGTTCTGTCTTTAATTCAGTGGTTCTCAACCTGTGGGTTGGGACCCCTTTGGGGGTTGAACGACCCTTCCACAGGGGTCACCTAAGACCATCAGAAAATACATATTTTTGATGGTCTTAGGAACCGAGACATCAATTTTATGGTTGGTGGTCACCACAACATGAGGAACTGTATTAAAGGGTCACGGCATTGGAAAGGTTCACTGCTTTAATTGATCGAACTCTTCTTTCAATAAGTCTAGTCCTTTGCCTTTTTCTCCTGTTCTTCTGTTTTGACTGGAATTGGGTGTTGGTACATACCTGATACACCCGTTCTCAGGGCGGTGGAGCCATCATCCAGGCATGGGTATGACTCCGTCAGGATCCAATACGACTGGGTCTACAAGTATTAAAGCCATGCCTACGAAGCTCCTCCCCAGAAATAGACGGAGTGACTTGTAGACCGCTGTGTAAGCAATCTGAAATGATAGAGATTATCTCTCCCCAAA